ATTGAATGCTAATTGAATTAATTTGTGTGTTAATTTGATGTCTATTTGATGAATTGAATGTTAATTTGATGAAATTACATGTTAATTTGGTGAATTGAATGTTTATTAGATAATTTTAGAATTTAATTTTATGAATTGAGTGTTAATGGGATGAATTTTAATATAATTTGCATTAATTAAATGTTAGTTTGATTTGAATTTGTTGAATTAAATATTAATTGAGCAAATTTGGATGTTGATTTGGTGAATTTAATGTTAATCAATTGAATTTGAATGTTAATTTAATAAATTGAATATTTACCGGGTGAATTTGGATGTTAATTAGAGGAGTTTGAATATAAATTGGACGAATTGAAAGTTAATTTGACGAATTGAATATTAATTGGATGAAACTGAATATTAATTTAATAAATTTAGTATTCACCAGTTGAATTTGAATTCTAATTTGATGAATTGAATAATAAGTTTATTTTAATTTGATGAATTGACTGTTAATTTATTGTTAGTGTGATAATTGAATGTTAATCAAATGAACTGGAATATAAATTGGATGAATTTAATATTAATTAGATGAATTTGGATGTTAATTTGATAAAATAAATGTTAATTGAATGAAATTGCATTGTACTTTGGTGTTGATTTGATGAATTGAATGTTTGTTGGATGACTTTGTATGTAAATTTGAGAAATATAATGTTAATTAGATGAATTTGAATAATAATTAGATGAATTGAATGCTAATTTAATGAAATTGAATATTAATTTGATAAATTTTAATGTTAGTTGGATGAATTAAAAGTTAATTTGGTGTAAATTTGATTAATTAAATATTAATAAATGTTGATTGATGAAATTGAATTTTAATTTTTATGAATTGAATTTTAATTAGGTTGAAAATACCTTCGTTTGGAATGCTATTACAATGACTTGGGTGAATATACCACTATTTGGAAAAATTTTACTATTATTTGGGGTAACATTATCACTGTTAGGGATAATATTACAACTTTTATGGTAATATTACAATAATTTTGAGTGATGTTATTAGTATTTAGAGCGAATTTACCACCATTTAGGGTTGGGATACAATAGTTGATGTATATTTACCTTTAAGTAAAGTTTGCAATATTACCCACGTATATTGTAACTTTAACCAATACAATAGTAAGTTTGGCCTACACTCTTGTAACTTTGCCTAGTATTATTTTAACTTAATCCTAAACTATAGTAAATGTACCCTTAATTATTGTAATTTTACCAAAGTTGTTGTAAATTTATCCAAAGTAATTGTTGTAATTTTAACACATTTATGCCGTAAATTAACTCACAAACTTTGTAATGTGACCTTTAAATGTAATAACTTTATCCAAAGTACTGGTAACTTTACTCTAATTGTTGTACCGTTACCCATTGATGTCGTAACTATGACTTTAATTGATGCAACTCTAAATAATATTATGGTATAAATTTTAAATTGTACTAAGAATATTTCCAACCTTTACTCAAATTTAAATTTGAGTAAAAAAACTCACAAAACTTACTTCAACCTTTGACTCAAACTTATATTAAATTAAGGGAGACTCTTTTTTTCACTCAAATCAAGGGGGACTCAAATTTTTACTTAAATCTTTAATGATGAAATTTCTTCCTCCTTTAAAGATCCAATTGTCATCTTTGTTCTCTTTTAAATCCGAGTTTGCTCATATTTAAATTTAAGTTTTTCCTTTTTTAAATTTGAGTTTGTCTATTGGAGCCCTTTATTTGAAATCAAGTTTTTTTACTCAAATTTTAATTTAAATTTGATTAAAAATTTAAGTCATGGTTAAAGATCCTCTAATTTTTACTACTTTTCTTCTGTATAAAAAAAATTATCACTTTTATGGGTGACTTATCACATTTGTGGGTGTTTTTATCACTATTGTTGTAATTATTTTTATTTTCTTGGTACCATGACAATAATAAAAACAACAACAAAATATGATAAAAACACCCATAAATACTATAAAATTTAGTATGGTATCAAAATTCTTTTTTTGGGTACCGTAGACAAGTCTTTTTTATAGGCATGTTGGGTCCTTATTGGTCCTGTCGTTCTTAAATTCTCTTTTGAGTAAGTTAATAATTTGTTTAGAATTAATTGTAAAAATTGTGTATGAGACTTATGATGGTAATTAATCATTGAGTATAAAAAAATGATCGCTTATTTCCCATAATTGCCATTTTTGGTACAAGTCGCCAATTTATGTGGTATTTAATAAAACTGAAAATTGAACACTGAAAACACAATGATAGTGATAGTGATAGTGACAGTGATGGTGGTGGTGACGGTGGCACAATGGTGGTGGTGGTGGTGGTAGTAGTCGTGGCAGCAGTAGTGATGGTGATAGTGGCGGTGGTACAATGGTGGTGGTGGTGCTGCTAGTGTTGGTAGTGATGACGATGACACAATGGTAGTGAGTGTATATTTGTCCATTATGAGAAATTGATAAAATCCTTATAGATTAATATTTTCATCATTAAGTGATAAGTAGGTTGTTTCCTACTTAAATTTTAACTTATTTTTAAGAAGTGCTTAAAATATTAAGTAGTATTAATTTTAAGTTATCAAACGAATTTAATTTATTAAGTACTTAAACTAATCAATTTCAAGTTTTAAGTTGTGTTATCAAAAAGCCCCTTACTTGAACTATTAATTGGTCGAGTCGAGTTGGATAATTGATTGCTAAAGCTTTGAAACAAGGTTTCGGCTTACTTATCTATAACACCAGTAAATGTCGAACACGCCACGAGTAAGGTGATCACTTACTAAGGCCTAATAGTTTGCTTTTCCACTGCCTGAGCTCTAGTCATTTGTCTTCTCTATATAATCTATTTGAGTATTTGATTAACGTTTGTCAATAAAATTACAAGTTTGAAATGTTTATTTGTGATGGGTCAGGCCTAAAAGGCCCAACATAGGTAATAAGCACAATTGGAATAAAGGCCCAACTAGATGAAATTCAATGGGTCCAACCCAAAAAGAACTCACACCTAATCAAGCTCATCAGGAATTCATGAGTTATGTCATCAAAGAGTAGACAACGTCATCTCAAGAGCTTCATCCACGTCACTTTGAAAAAAGTCAACAACGGCATCCTTTGACTTGATCTTAAGGGGAGCTCCATAACCGCCTTAGTCGTTGAGAGGATAGTGTCAGCTCCACCAAATTAGCTACTTAGTTACTAAAAATGCATCCCAGTCTGTTAAGAGGCACTATAAATTACAAGCCCTGCCAATACATGGGAAGCATCGAACATAACTGTTATCACTCTCATCTCTCTCATAGCTTGTACCTCCATCACTCTTCTTTGATCTCCTTACACTTCTCCAAGTAATAAAACACTAGACAATCTTAGCCCTTCATAGTGGAGTAAGTCACATTGATCGAACCACTCTACATCTTTGTCTTGCTTGTGTTACTCTCTTTCTACTTAATTACTGCATTAGTTATTAATTACTTGACGTGTGGTGCATAAAACTAATTTGTGTTTCATCAATTTGTTTACCAAAGAAATAGCAATTGAATTTTTAACGAAGCAATCTACAGTTTGAGGACCAAATACGATTTTAACCTTTTTTTTATCATCTAAAATATCCCTACTAACTCACTCTGATGAAACACGTGTATTTTTCTAATTGAATTTTTGACGTAATCAAGTTGACGGGCTCATTAAACTTCTAAATAGCAAAAGGGCTTCTTCATCCATTGATCATCAAAAAATAGTTGAACAAGCTTTGTCCCAAGAAGTTCCTCCACAACTGTAAGTTCCAGTTCAATTGAATGATGAGCTAAAATCATATACCGTTGATGAGCCTAAAAGTTCTCCTCATTATACATCAATTGCTTTTGATAAGCTAATCTCAAAGGATATTCTTATAGAAGAAGTTAAAGGAGTTTCAAATGGTGCCACTACAAATGGAGTTGCTATTTTGTCTCCACTAAATTATATGCTTGCTTCGCTTATAATAATAGTGTATGTGGATAAGACTGTGATGGATGCAATGCACGAAGGAATTACTTTCTATTATAGAGATTTACAATACTATTTTCTTGGAACATAAGCTTCTTTAGATTTTTTGCAATACTTGTGGCCTTCCAACTCTTCGGAGAAGAGTTTTTTTCAGCCGGAAAGTATTGATAAAGATCGAAAAGAGATTGGATGAACTTAAATTTAATAATTGAATTTTATTATTTATTTTAATATTATTTTATTAGTTAAGGAATATTTGTTTGACTAATAGTAGTAATTAGAGTTTGATTAAGAAATTGTTATAGAGTTTTAGTAGGATAGGAATTTGAGAGTTTGATTATGAAGCTCTTTTAATATTTTAGTAGGAAAGTAGTTTTTATTTTAGTAGGGACTTGACCTATAAATAATGGTGTAATCCCAACTATTTTTAATTAGAGAAAATGATATAATAAAAAGTGGTTCTTCGTGGAGAATTTATGTGTTTCTTCACCAATTCCTTGTGAGGATGAGGTAAACCCCTTCCACCCCCTCTTATTTCTTCTTCTCTTTCTATTATGTGATTTCTAGTCCTTCTCGTTCTACATCAGAGGGTGCAGTGGGGGGTTATTGCAAGCTATTGGCATGAAAATGGTTCTGATCAGGGCCAAAAAAACATAATTAAAATAATAATCAAAGAAAGAAAAATAACAAGAAATAAAAGTGGTCCAGATTAATGCACAAAATGCCCAAAGACAAAAAGCAAGTAAAAATCTTCTAATAAAGAGCTGAATCTGAATTGGCTGAGCGTCATCACTGTATGTGTCTCAGATTTTAATTCCAGGTCATTGAGACGATCTTTCAGAAAGGAAAAGTTTGCCAAAATCATCTCATACAACACTCCATTCAGAAGGTGTGTTACATCACATTGCTCAAGTTCACAGTGGTGCATCTGACACCAAATACAACAAATGATTAGCCAGAGGCATAATCCATCAAATAAGAACACTAGGGGGCTGTTTGTTTGAGGTATAAGGGTGGTATAATAGGGTGGTATAAGTAAAATAGTACGTGGACCCTACGTTATATCGTGTTTGTTTTGCGTTTTTTAGTAGGTACTATTTTTCGGGTCATAACACTGACTCGGAATGAACAGTGCAAATAATGCCTCCTATAAGGTGCTATTGAATACCACCTACCCGGTGATATAATATTTCGGTATAAATTTCATGGAGGTATTATATGATAAAAAGATCCAAATGCCCTCATCTACAATGACCCATATAAAACCCGAGTTTCTCCCAACAAACCCTAGCGACTCGATCACTCGCCTCCCCCAACAAACCCCTTCGCCTACCTGAAGAAGCTGAACAATCAGTCAACCAAATATGAAGACGATGAACCATCCTTCACCTCCCTGAATTCGCTGAACAGTCACTCTGCTCCCTGAAGACGCTAAACCATCGTTTGCCTCCCTGAAGACGCTGAACCATCGTTTGCCTCCCTTCGCAGATCTTGACGCTGGTATCTCCCTAAGCAGATCTTCATGTTGCTGAACCTTTTTTTCTGCAAACGACAAACAGGTACGTTCATTAAGATCTATGTTTGTTCTGTCACATATATGCGGCTATGATTTCTACAGCAATTTCTGTACTTATTTTAAATGGGGAATGGTCGCTGATTTTTGTATTTTTTTTTTTGAGAATGTTGATGACCGAAAAAAACCCAAAAATATAAGTTGTCGGGGATAGACCAGCCCCGAGGAATTGGAAGAGTATCTGTCACGTCGGTGGAATTGAACTCCTAGTCTCTCCCCCACACGAAAAAGAAAAAAAAATTCTAACCTTCGTGGGAGCTCGGAAGGTCGGAGATAAGAACCTTGGTTTTCACACGCTTGGAGATATATAAAAAACCATCAGAAGGGGTGTACTTGCGGTTGAAAAATCTCACGAGCAAAGGTACAGTAGGAACCCCAAGATTGTGTTTTTTGAAGAAAATAAGGAGACCAACCAGCACACCCCAAAAGTTAGGCGAAAGCTAGGCAGGACAGACATTGAAATGTTACAAGACGCTCTTGATAAAAGGGTGCATGGGAAAGCGAAAGCCATTCTCAAAAGCGGCTATGAAGAAACAGACTTTTTTAAGGATGGAAGAGTCATACAAGGTGTACATGTCTGGGCTCCAGAACTGCACACCTTGAGGAAAGCCAAAGCGGGTAGCTAGAACCTTCAAATAAGAAGGAACGATGTCACTAGAACCCACGAGCTCGGCAGCCCTGGGAGCAGTACCTCCGCCCTCGGCACTGTCAAAAATTCCTACGCCGCTCACCTTGATTTTTCCCTTGCTAGGACTTTTAAGAGCAGGGGGTGGCAAAAGAGATTCCTCAGAACCTACCCCGACGTCAACAGAATCCACGCCAGGGAAATTATCAATTTCCTGTCCCACATCTCCTAGATCAGAGCCCTCAGCGGACCTATCCCTCATTAGAGAAATGGACGAACTCGTGGCTTCAGAGGAGGTGGACATAATTGAGTAAGAGAAAGGAAGTTTAAAGGACCAATAAAGCGGGGGAACCTCTGAGAAACACTCTTAGAGAGTCAGGGGGCAAGACACCAACGACCAATAACGAAAATCCTAGTCATGGAGTAAAGATCCAGAAAGAGAAGGATACGAGACAGGGAGAGGTTTCGATTCCTAAAATAGCAGAACCGAAAAGTCTAAAAATGCACTAACCACCTTAGATTTGAGGATCCAGAACGAGGAACTGGGAAAGGGATGAAAGACATACCTAAACGAGAACCAACGATGGATTAAAGCACGAGAATGAAGTCCAAAATCAAGCCACACTAAGCCTTCAGGTCAAATTAAGGAAATCGTCTCTAAGAAACCCTAAGGACGACGACAAATTGGGGAAGATGAAATTGCAAGAAAGTAAATAAAAGAACCAGAGAGAATTCGAAAGAGTGAAGAGTGACCCGTTAATCCAAGAGCATTTAAAGCTAACAGCACAAGGGATTTTGAAGTGGACAACGTGTGCGAGAAACGAGAAGAGAAATGATCATTGGTAACTGTAAAAAATTTGTCCGCACAAACATCGAGGTCACCAAATGGGGGATTACTTTGTTCCAGTTTAAGTTCAGCCCTTGCTCAAGCTTGCTTGAACCAAGAGCTGGGGGGCAACTGATGATACGTGAATAAGAATTTAACCAAGTATGAGCTCAGGAAACGAGGTCAGACAAGGAGGTTTGAGGGGGAGCTCAAAGCTCTGAAGCCCAATTCCCGAGCTCCTCTCCGATGAAAAATCAGAGGAGTCAAGGAAAGAACAACTGGTCAGTAAGAAGAGTCCACAGAATAGCTGGTCAGTAAGAAGAGTCCACAGAACAACTAAAGGGCAGTCATCAAGACGTGAAACTCTCAACCACCCAAGATCCCCTCCTAAAATCAAGGAGAGTCCTGCAAATGAAGAGCAAGGATCTCGCTGCAGATCCCTTAGAGAGACAAATAGTGCTATAAATATTGTATAGTGCCTCCTTGAGAGGCAAGAAAAACCTAATACCATCAGAAATATTCTGTAAGTCATATCCACTGTGAATAAAGATAAAAGGAGCAGGAGACTCCCTTAGAGAGTAGATTAGCCGGGCTCTCAAGCTAGTAAACCACTGTAGTTGCACTGTGTTTTGCTTCCAAGATTCCTCAGAAACCCTGTCATTGATTGCACGAGCCTTGTAGCTCAGGCCCACTCTTTTTCGTATGATTCACAAGTTCTGCTTATCTCTTTGACCACACCATCAAAAGATCTTTTACGATTTTGGTAGTTTTGCTTACCAATCAATTATTTTGGTGGTTGAGCCAGGCATGACCATGACAAATTGTGCAATGTAATCAAATCCTTTATAAATTCTACCATTTAAGTGACCCATATTGTTTGAAGTCTAATAACCCATATATTATTTCTCCATTTGGATACTGAATAAATAAATAAACTCATCTAAATGACAAACTATTCCTTCTCCTTCAGTGAAATTAAAATCCTTCCAGTATCAAAAAGCTTTTTTTTTTACATGCCCCAAAACTAACAAAAAGGTAAAACCTTGACAGATCATAAATAATCAAATTCACCTCTTTATAACATTGTAAGGGGTAGAAATCGCTACGGAATTTCAACCCTCCACTCGAAGGATTTCGGCTGACCTGGCAGCACCGAGTCCTAGTAGCCTTTATCTCTCTTCGGCCCGCAGTAACTTGTCTTATATCAGAAGAGAGTCGTCTTTCCCCCTCGCATATAAGCTCTTGCACTCAAAGGAGGAGGTACCCACTAGCAATTGCCAGAATCCTTCTACTGGAGGGCTGAAATTCCGTAGTGATTTCTATCCCTTAAAAACATTGACCCACAATGGGACTATAGCTAATTATTTGTCGATGATCATCATAACAATCTTTAGGATGATGAGGCTAATGCTAATGAATGGTTGCGACAGAACAAAAAGCTATTCACATCCATTCTCTCCACCACAAAATGCCCAAGAAAATCTTTAGACTTCACCAAATTCTCTTTGCATAAGAATTCCTTACTAGAAACTCTCTGCCTCCATATTAAAATCATGCACAAAAACATGTGTTTTAGGGTTACCACCCTTCTTGCTCCTCGCCAGCACGTCGGCGGTGAAAATCGCCGACATCCGGCAGGCGCATCAGGCCAGTGCCCTCTTGGCCCATCCACCAATATAATATCCCAATCCACATCATAGAATTGGTTGGAAGGTCATTAAGCCCAAGCTTATACTCGGAAAACAATAGGTTCTGCACTGGCTTGCATTCATTGCGCACTTGTTCTCTCACTATTGCAATAACTTCCTTCATTTCACTCATTTTGTTTGTGTATTGAACATCATAGGCTTCAATTTCTGGGTATTTTTCCTCCACATACGCTGCATAATACCAGTTTTCATCGATGAAAACAGTACGGCTATTGTCGTTGAGGGCTTTCCAGAGAAGGGTTTCGGGTGTAAGGCTGAAAACAAGGAAGTTACTGGAAGATAAGCATTGTCGGAGGACCTCGGAGATTTGTTTGATCTTTGTCTGTGACATGTGATTGGTGTCGTTAGAGTTTGAAGCGTAGTGGACAAGAGCTTTAACGATAGTTTTTGATATTGGAGGATTGCCGGAGGCCATGGCTGCCGAGGCAGCGGCGTGGGTGGTTGTGGTGATGGATTCTCTAGTATAGATGAGGGTGAGAAGGGATGCTAGAGTGAAGAATGAAATGAAAGCTAGAAGCCATAGATTGTTGGAACTTCCTTGTTTTTGGATGTAGGGATGAAGAAGAATTAGCTTTGTGCCACCATTGACATTGTCCTTCATCTTTCGAGGGGTGTGTGTGTGACTGTATGCCGGTCTGACAGAGAGAGAGAGAGAATTTTGGGATGGTTTTGAAGGTCTGGACTATGGTTGAGAGAGGGGGTCTGATTAAAAGAAGCTAAATTCCCCATCCCGGGTGCAACTACTACCACCAAATAAAAATACGACATGTGTAAAATTTGTTTTTTTTTTTATTATTTTTATAATTAAAAATTACAAAATAATCAAATAAAAATTTATAACTGGAATTTTTTTTTTGTTCAATGGTTAAGGGTTTTTGTACCAATTAATACGGATTTTGACTAATCTCTTTCCAATTAAATCAAAGTCAAACTATCTATACTGGGACTAAAATATTTATGAGAGATAAATCCCTCGTGACCTGGTCAGCTCATTTCTTTTTCCATATGATACTTAGGTGGTATTTAATAAAACTGAAAACTGAAATCTGAAAGTTGAATGTGGAATGCTGAATTTGTGAACTGTTTAGTATTCACTGAAATTTAAGTACTGAATTGAATTAAACTGTTTGATAACTACATAGAGCTCACTTCTGAAAATAAATTAATTTTCAGTTTTATCCTTCTACTATTTAATTTGAAAATATTTATAAAAAAAATCATAACATAAATCATAATCACTATTATTATATTGTAATCTACATTTGACAAATATTTGATCAAAATAAATAAATGAATAACATCTGAATAACACAAGAAGTGAACAATAACAAATTAAAAAACATAATAAGTGAACAATAACATCTAATAAAAAAAAGAACAACAACTAATAAATAATCAAATAATATTAAAAAAATACAATAAATTAGATTTTATTAACAATGTGTATGAGCCGTGTGTGTGTGCGCGTTAGTATGTGTGGGTGTGTGCATATGCATGTGTGTAATTGTGTGTGTGCAGTGCGTGCGTTTGTGTGTGTAATTATAATTATGTATGTATATTTTTATTACAGAAGACAAAGAAAAAAAAAGACTGACAAGGAGAATATATAGGTTTGGGATTTTAAAGAGAAAACTAATTAGAATTTTAATAGGATTGTAAAATATTTTTGGGTATAATTGTTTTATTGTAAATATTATTAAAGATGGTTTTGCTGAACGCTTTCAGCTTTCAGAATTAAGTAAGAGATCTCTTACTTAATATTGTAACCTATTTTTAAAGAGCAGTTAACATATCAAGAGAATTTAAATTTTAGTTATTAAACGGGCTTAATTAATAAGTGTTAAATATATTCATTTTAAGTGCTCAATTTGGGTTAACAAACACAACTTTAAAAAAAATATTAATACCATAATCTTTATGACGATTGCTCCATTTGGTATGATGAAAAAAATGGAAGGATGGAAAGTTTGAGAGATAAATAAAACATCATATTTGATAAGGAAGGAAAATAAGAAGGATAAAAAAGTGGATAGATTAACTTTCCTTTGAACTCACCAAAATCGGAAGGAAAGTGAATAGAAAATTAATTATTTGTGTTGAAATGTATCTTATTTGTATATATATCATTTAAAATATACATATATTATGCATATATTAATTTCTTATAAAAATATAATGATAAATATGTATTTATATATATATTTTAAAATTTTAAAAATAAATTTAAAAAAAAAATTAAAAAATTAAAAATTAATTAAAATTAAAAAAATAATTTTTTTCATCTTAACTAGGGGTGAAAATTTTCGACTCAACACGATGACATGACTCAAACTCGATACGAATTTTATGACATAAACTTGATTATTACTCGGCACGAACTTGAAAATGACCTAAAACGCGAACAAGAAATATAAAAGGCTCATATTTAGTTCAACCCGTCAATCTCAAAATTGACACCATCAACCCGTTTATTTATAATGACACAAACTCGATTGTCATCCCTAATCTTAGCCAGAACAAAAAAACAATTTAGTCATTTTTATTTTTCATCCATCCTACCAAACACAAAGGAAGGAAAATGTATCATTCTTACTTTCCTTCCTTGAAAAATAGAAAGTGTATCCCTCTTATTTTCCATCCTTCCTATTAAACGGAGCAGAAGTCTCTAACCAAAGAGAAGTTTGAAGCAAGAGGCAATCGGCAAAAATGAAGGGAGACATCAAAGCTATTTTGAAAAAGTGGGGCCCAATTATGAGAGGGTTTGGGAGAAGGATACAAGGGGAGTGGTAGATGTAGTTTTAGCGACCCAATAACTAATTATAAGCCAGAAGTCGCCTTTCATCCTTCATCTAATCATTATTTTTCACGAAACCTCTACTAAATGCATATATTCTTAGTCATGCTTGGAGAGGAAAATCCACTGTTGCAGATTCCATTTTGCAGATGAATTAGTTAATAATTGATTCCTAATGGGCAAGAGTGACTTTCAACAGTGGCAAATTCACATAAGGACTATGGTGGGCAGCCCTTAGTGGGGTGCATATATATAATAAAATGGGTAAACTTAGTAAGAGTGAGTATAGAAGATGTAAACTTGGTAGTTTTAAAATTAAGAGTTTAATGGGATTGAAAGAATATAGATTTACGAAAAAAATTAGATAAACATACTATAAGAGGTAAAAAAACGAGAATACATCCTACATGGTTAAATGAATGATCTCTTTTGAGAGTAATCTCTGAACTTGTTTTCCAAGTCTTTCCCTCCTACAAAACGAACAAATTGTCCAAGATCGAAGTGCTTCGATCAAAAGCACTCTGATATTTAAGTCAGTAATGAAATTAAGTAAACAGTGAGAAGACAAGGAGAGTTCAACGTACCTTTAACCTTGGCCCCTTATGCCTTTTATAGTCTCTCTTTCAATTAAGGTTTCCATGATTTTTGACTCAAAATGGTACATCTTTCTTTAATCAGGCGATTCTGTTTAGGAAGTTGCTGAGATCTCTCAAGCAATTCCTTGTACCGAGCCTATGATCATGCTCATTCATTTAACCAGAATGCCTGAATTATAGGCATCTCTTCAGTATCACGTTACTGTTTTAAACAGCTCGGTCATGACGAGAACTGAGTTCATTCTTTCTTCTCGAGCTTTCTGAATAGCTCGATTGTTATTTGATCACAAGCGTGATTGGTCTTATCACCCTCACGTGAGATCATTTAATGTTATGACACGTGTCGATAAAGGAAGCACCCTCTTCATTTGCCCCCAGAAAACGTGTGACAGGCTTTTTTCATCTGTCAGTCGTTTCATGCCTCCAATCCATCATTGCACGTTACTATTTGGGACATGCCCCTTGTTTGGCAGCGTCTCCTGCATTTGAACATCGTTTCTTGAACTTCGTTTACTCCTTTTTAAGTGAACCTTTTCTGTCTTCTTTTTCCTACACGATCCTCTCTTTCCTACTCTATGAATTTTTTCTTCACTACCTTGACTCTTCTTTCTTCTATGCTATGACTCCTCTCTAATGCCCTCTGAGATCCTGCTTTCGAAAAAAGTATCAAATCCTTGACAACATTGAGGTTCAAGTTGC